GCGCGACCTGCGCCGCGGCAGCCTTGGCAGCACGCCACGGAGCGAGGCGGTGGCGGAGCTGGTGTGCCGGGAGCTGGAGCACTTGCAGGATTACTGCCAGCCACACGCGCCAGGTGAGGCGTCGCCATCCGCATGGCCTGACCACTTACCTGTGATGTCCCCTTGGTGTCCTGACCCCACGGTGCCAGGGGCCCCTTTTTGGGGACGATGGGGTGAGGGAGCAGGTAGCACAGCAGGCATCAGCTTTGCTTTCTCTTCTTGCCAGGAGCTTTGCTCAAAGCTGCCTTCATCTGCACCCAGGTCGTGCAGTTCCCTTCGCAGAAACCCCTGCGGGCCCAGCTGATGGAGAGCTTCGGAGGCGGATTTGAGGTGCAGACCTGGTCCAAGCTGCCCCACGGGTCTGGCCTAGGTAAATTTGCTGGGAAAGGGCTGGGGAGCCCCTCCTGCTCCGAGGACCAGGACGGCGCATCCCCCTCACTGCCCCACAGCCGTGAGCCTGGTCCCGGCTGTCACGGGCACGCACAGTGCCTTGCTGCCCTGGCCCTGCCTGTGCTCCCTGCAGGCACCAGCAGCATCCTGGCAGGAGCGGTGATGGCATCACTGTACCGGGCAGCCGGGAAGGTGGCCAGCACAGAGTCCCTCATCCACGCCGTGCTGCACCTGGAGCAGAGGCTGACGACAGGTAGCGGCTGGGGGGAGCTGCCGGCCTGTGGGGTGGGTGGCCCAGCAGTGGCTGAGGACCCCTGGCCCTGCAGGTGGCGGGTGGCAGGATCAGGTGGGTGGGCTTGTGCCTGGCATCAAAATTGGGAGGTCGAAGGCCCAGCTGCCACTCAGGGTGGAGGTGGAGAAGATCCCGGTGCCCGACGGTTTTACCCAGACCCTCAGGGATCACTTGCTGCTGGTGTACACGGGGAAGACTCGCCTGGCCCGCAACCTGCTCCAGGTAGCACCTGGGTGCCACAGGCTCTGGCCTCTGCTCCCCCTCTGGTGCCTGTCCCCTTCGTTGGTGCAGAGATTTCCCACCCCAACGGGAGCTGGCACCGCAGGCCGTGGGTGCAGCGCTACCCTCCCCGGGTGCTGCGGGAGCCAGCGGACGGTGATGGGGACGTTCTGTCCTCTCGCAGGACGTGGTGAGGAACTGGTACGCCAGGCTGCCCTCCACCGTGCAAAACGCCGACGCGCTGGTGAGCAACGCCGAGGAGTGTGCCCAGGCCTTGAGGCAAGGTGGGAGCCCCCATCCCTGGGCCAGGCCAGCCCTTTTAACAACTGAAGAAACACAAACGGCCCCTGGGGAGAGTCTGTGCAGTCCTGGATGGGCAAAGGCTGGGCATACAGGCTCTTGCAGCTGCAGAAGCTTCAAATCATCCCCCTGGGCCTGGCCTATTACTGGCAATGCCCCAAAATTCAGGCTTGAACGAAGACATTGAGGAAGGGGGGTGGTCAGACACGCCAAGTCTGGTCAATTTTCTGCAAGCCATCCGTGATGGGGCTGGGGGCTGTGCCTAGCCTGCGCAGTGGATTCATTTGGCCTTTGGCTGCTGGGATGCATTTAAAGCAAGCACATTCTCCCCCTGTGGAGGATTAAAAATAAACAGCAACGTGACAGGGCTGGCTTTGCTTGCTTGGCAGGCAGAGCTGGGAGGAACTAGGTTTGAGAAGGCAGACTTTAGCTTAGGCTGAGCGCAAGGCAGAGACAGGTTTCTGCCCCCTGGGCAAGAAATAGAGGCAAATCGTTTGCAATGTCCTCTCCCCTGCAGGGAACCTGCTGCTCCTTGGCAAGTGCCTGGACCGCTACTGGCAGCAGAAGAAATGCATGGCCCCTGGGTGCGAGCCGCTGGCTGTCAGGCGCATGATGGATGCTCTCCAGCCCTATGTCTACGGGCAGTGCTTGGCAGGGGCTGGCGGTGGCGGCTTCCTTTACGTCTTAACCAAAGCCCCTCAGCAGAAAGAGGCTTTGCACCAAATTCTAGCAAAAACCGAGGTGAGATGTGAGCTCCCAGGCGCTTCGCTGTCACAGGCTTTATAGAGTGCAAGTGCTAGGAGCGTCTCGCCCCACGACGAGTGGGATGAGATTGCTTGTTGTTCCCTGAGTCCTCCCCAGGACCCTGGAGGGGAGAGCAGGTCCCTTGCTGGCTCCTGCCCCAAGCCCTAACTCTGTTTTCCTAGGGACTGGGCAACTTCAGCATCCACAGCATTGAAGTAGACACGGGCGGTTTCTCTGTGGAGGTCGTGGGACATGGTCTGAAGGACAATGCTCACCCCGGAGGGGAACGTGGCTGTGTGAAGGCCTTCAGCCCTGACCCGCTGCCAGCAGCCATGGGGGGCAGGGGAGGGAGCAGCCAGCCGCTCTCCAAAGCAGGGCCATCCCTGCTGCTTTAGAGGCGGCTCCTTCAGCCAGCTCCAGCAGGTGCCTGAGGTCTTGATGTGGCCTTTTTGTGCTGCTACTTGCCCCAAAAGCTACAGAGGCCGGAGAAGCTGTGACAAGCTGGGCAGACAGAACTGTCCCTGGAGGGTTGGCCTTGCTGGAAGGACAGACTGCTAGGGCCTCCAGGCTGATTTTTGGGGTTTTACCCCAGTTTTCATGATTCTCCCAAGGGAAAAGAATAGCATTTGTGATGCTGCCTCTAGCAGGAACCTTCCTGTTCTTCCAGCAGCAGATGCCTACACTGCTCATTCGGCATGGAATGCTCCTGCCCCAAGGATGCACCTGGATGTGGAATCAAAGTCCCTCTCGCTGAGAGACTGTTTCTGCAGCAAGTTGCTAGTCCCTGCAGTCTCTTTGAATAAAAAACCCTTGTTCCCAGCATGTGTTTATGCCCCTCTGTTCCTAGCAGGGCTCCTTTCTCGCCCTGGGACAGTGAGGGCCCAGCAAGGCAGGGCAAAGCCCTTCCGGGGGTAGGCAAGGCAGAACCCACGTGTAGGGGCTGTTCATCGCCCTCCACCGCCCTGGGTGACAGGGACAGCCAAAGGGGCAGCCAGGCAGCAGGCTGGCCCCCTCTCAAGGATGTTTGTACTCACACGGTGCCAGTGCCAGCTGCGGGTGCAGGAAGAGCCCCTTGGTGCCATGGTACAGGGTAGAAGAGGAGAAATGGTGAATAGCTCTTGTCCCTCCTCTCCATCTTCCTGCAGGCCTACAGACACACACAGCACCCAAGACTGCTGCTCAGCCAGGTGGGGTTTATTTACAGAGCAGCTGTACAGGGCACACAGCCCCGCTTCCTACAGCGCCCTTCTAGGGATTTTCCAAGCACCCTCCCCACAAGGAAATCACTCCTTTTCCCTTCTACACAACGGTCCCCACCGCCACCTGGAGGGAGCCAGGGCTCAGGATATGTAGGACCCTTAAAGTGGTGGCACAGAAGGAACACGACTGCAGCCAGCGGCACAGGCAGCATCTCTGCAGCCCCATACTTGAACCACAGCACAACAGCCCCCACATTTCCTGACCTGCGGCCTCCCCCAGGGCAGCAGGATGAAGGGAGTCAGGAGCTAGTACAGGCTTGTCCCTCAGACTAGCACACGTGTTCAGAAATAGTGTCACGCTGCTCTCAATGCGAGAGATTCTTCTGCTGTCGTTTCTGCTCCCACAAAAGTCTGGCAGCTCTTCTTCCCAGGCCCAGGAAAGCCCTTTGCTCCAAGGAACATGAGTAGAAGAGCAGACATCACCCCATCTAACAGCCAGCCAGCCCCAGGGCAGGACGTGGGCAGGCTCCACGGCTGCAGCCTTCCTGCCTTTACCTCCAGCGCGGTGCTCACATGGCTACAGGCGCAGCCGTTTGATGTCCTCGCTGCGGAAGTCGATTCGGAGAGCCAGCACCTGCCGGACCTCGGCAGGAGTAAGGCGCCATGTGAGCGGGCCAGAGTTTGGGCCCCAGTAATCCAGGATCTCTGTCACCTGGAGAAAGAGGAGAGCTGCAGGAGACAACTCTGCATCAACCGCCCTCGCAGGTGAGTTCAGACTCTGGCTACAGTCATGGTGTCTCCTGTCACTAAACCTTGCAGGCAAACACCCATCAGGCACAGGGCCAGTCTTCCAGCTTCTTCGTACCCCATAGATGTGACAACGTCTGGGTAAGCCCAGTTAAATCCATGTGGAGTCCAGCTGGGGCTCCTGCAATACCACAGAAAAAGCAAAGCGCAACTCACCCTTTCCAGATTGAGGATGGTGGCCATCTGGGACAGACGGGCAAACTTGTCGCGGATAGTCCAGGTGGTGACTGTGGTGAGGTAGGCTATGAGAGACCTCAGCTCCTTGTCAAACTGCAGGCCGCCAAGCTGTGGGGAGCGAGGAAGCTCTGGTAACTGCCAGCAGGCCGAGGGGTTGTGCCAAACACACGCACATTTAACAGATGTTATGGGGGGGCAGGCAGGAGGATGTCTCTGAGCACGAGGGCTCCACTTAAACCGCTTAATGCAGGTTAAACTGGCTTATGTTTGGACCTACCTTAAAAGCCCCCTTATTGATGCAAGCTCTTCCCAGCCCCACCACCAAACGCACTTTCTCCCCGTGTGCACTAATGCAGGACCTCCCTGCGCCGGCCACCAGTGGTGGCAGAGCCTCTCCGAGGGCAGCGTTTGCCTCTGCCCTGCCCCATCCCTCGGTGGGTAACGAGGGTTTCATGGTGGAGGGTTTGCAGTCCAGCCAGGGGCTCTATGGGGTAGAGGATCGTGTTTTGCTTACCCTGCTGAAGGTGGATTTGAGCAGCACTTTTTCCAGTTCGATGGCTATAAGACTGGTCATGAGACCAGTAAGGGTATCATAAATCACTGGAGACAGTCCAGCCTGGAAGCAGAAACCCATATCATTCTTGTCAGGAACCACTGAGCACAGGTCCACAAAACCCATGCCTACGAGAACTTTCAAATAAAGACCCGTCGCCTGCATGCTCAGCGAGTGGAAAGCACCGGCAAAAGCGATCCAGGTACGCTGGGGCTGCAAGCAGGCTTTAAAAATGGCAGGAGGAGGGAGTGATTGATCTCCAAGAGCCCTGCAAGGCACTGGAGGACATCTCTGTCCTGAGCAAGGGAAGAGTTGGGAGATGCCATGTGGAGGCCTGGCAGGCTGCCATGTCCCTCTCTCTCACCTTGAACTCTGTCATCTGCTGTTCCAGATTGATGATGAACTGCTGGACCCAGGGATCGTTAGCCTCATAGTCGCTGAACTCCTCCTGACATTGAAATACAAAAAGGGTTGTTTACGTGGCCTGCTGTGACAGCAGCAAACAGCCCAGGGGACAGGAAGGGAGGTTCCTCCTGGAGCAGCACCCCTTCCATTTTCTCCTAACAAAATGCCCCTTTCCAGGCTGGGATGCAGAGCAAGTTCTGGCTATGTTGCTGTAGCTCTGTGCCGAGGAAACAGCAGAGAACTGAGGGGAATGAGACAGTGGTTGCTCCAACTGCACCGCTGAGCAAAGGATGGAGAGTGTGAAAGTATGGCTGGAAGCAGAGAATGCTGAGCCTTACCTCCTCAATGTTGTGGGAGACGGAGAGGAACAGGTTGATCCAGGGCTTCACCTGGGGTTTGATAGCTGTGCTATTCAGCTCATTGAGACCTTCCTGAGTGGGACAGGGAGAGTGACTGAGCACAGCTAATGTCCAGTGGCACACAACCTCTACAGCCAGGCTGTCTCGATACTCCCTAGCCCCCTCACTGCAAGCTGGGAAACCAACCCACAGACTTGTGCAGGAAACTGAACCCAGAAGTCCCAGATCCCACACTCCTCCTGTGCTGGAGGGCTCTGAGGCCACCACAATGACAAGAAAAGCTGCCGTTGTGCTGAATTGCAGCCTGGTCCGAGGGGCTCATGCTTCCCCAGCCCTGCCCGCACAGGTAAAGAGGTTTCCTAGCAGGAGGGAGGAGTTCAGTTTCACATCCCACCAGGGAAGGAAAGGACGCAAGCACCAGCCTTTCCACTCAGCACCAGCCAGGAGGAGGCTGCGATTGGGCCCAACTGATGCCTCCCGCCTGCAGTGCAGCTTAGCTTAGTAGGAGTAGAAAAGCTGTAAGCAGAGTTAGTTCCCTGAATTAATCATAACCCCAGCACATGCCATCTCCCCTGAGCAGCAGGTTGCCAGCAAAGGCTGTTCTGTCTGCTTCGATGCTAGAGAGCTCTCTGAAAGCCCTCTCCTGCCAACCACTCCTGTTTGGCTAAACAAGATGTCAAGAAAGCTCACCCAGCGTGGAACTATTCAGGTACCTGCCTGGCATTTGTTGAAAGTTTTTAACTAAAAGTTGGCATTTCTGAACAGGCCCTGCTGGCAAATTCAATGTGTGTGTGACTCAGGCAGCGCAGGAACTTGCTGCTCAGCCTTCGATTGCTTTTCAGCCAGTTTTAATACCGCACTAGCGCTAGAGTTTTACTCCTTACTGATGAGCTCTTTGTTTTGACTCTTACTGACCACAAGCCTCAAGAGGGTTCACTGGCAATAAAAAAACTGGTCTGAAGGCATCTGGCTGCAAAGCCAAACAAAAAATGGTCTGGCCCCTCTGTGAAGTACAAAGCTGATGGCAAACCTGGTCAAAAATGCTCTCTTTGGCTTGGTTTCTTTCCACAGGAGGTATAAGATCTTCCTGCTCTCCTCCCTGCCAGAGGCCACTGTGAAATTTTAGGGCAACTGACCCCCAGCATGCCACAGGAGACAGTGGATTTAGCCAGAGAGCCTTCTGCCCCAGGCCGGGGAGAACTTCCATTTCAGAAAGGAGAAACCTGAGAGAAGAGCAGCTGCTTCTCTACCAACAGCCTGTCTTCAGCATTACCTAGTGAGGCTCTGGACAACTTGACAACATGCTGTGCCACCAGGGAGAATGGAGGAGATGGAAATGCTATTCATGTTTCTTCTCCTGAAAATGCTGAACTACGACTCTGTGCTGAGTGAAGACAAATGGAGCAACATTCCTTCTGGCTCTGCAGCTGCTTCCAGTGCTTTTTACGCAGCCACCAGCTGCTGCGGCTGTGCAAATGGGCTGTATCTGTTTCCATGCCTCAAAGCTGACTGATTTGCTCCCTCCTGTACCCCTTCCCAGCACTCCTGGAGTCAGACGTGGCCCCAGGCCTTTGGCCAAAATGATTCCTGCCCAAGTTCTCCCTGCAGACACCAGCCAGCCAGTGCTGGGAGGCCAGCAGTAACTCAGCAAGACACTCACCTGCAGGAGGTCACGAAATTTGTTGGAGACTGCGGCCATGTCAGAGAGGCAGCTGTCAATCTTGGCCTGTGCTTGCTCACCCCCGAAGCCCTGGCTAAGCAGTTTGCTGCAGTCACTCTGCAGGGAAGAGATCCACAAGCGAGTTGCAAATTAATAACCTGGGCAATTTCTATCCCTTCATGCTGCTGAGATTTGGCTGCCCACCAGCACGCTTGCAGGCTAGGACAGGCGGCAA